TTAAAGAAGGAATCGAATCACAGGGATACATACACAACTAAACATTGGCATCGACGGATTCAACCAAGTTAATTTGGCTCAGAGGGGAACGAATTTTTATATAGGAACACACATCCGATGGCAAATACGAGCTATACAATTCTTTTTTCAAAATAACTAGTGTTGGCAAATATATATATATATATATATACCTCCAATGGAGACTTGAGGGCGACACTGAGCGGATAAATCAGTGCGTGGGGATGTTGCGACCCAATTGCACACAGCAGTCGATGCAACTGTGATTGAATTCGAGGGTGTGGCGAGTGAATTCTACAAAGCAATAATATCATTTAGCCACGTATATATATATATATGTATATATATATATATTCTTCATGTCAAGTGCGATGTATATATATATATATATATTGTCATTTCGACTGGAAGTGATCAATATGAGCCGAACCACACTGGCCAATCAAACTGTCTCTCAAAAGGTCAAACATCGAATTCAAGTGTCTGTGCCTGAAATTAGTGTGCAGAACGACACTCTTTCGTTACAAAATATGCATGACCAGAACCGATTATATATATATATATATATATATATGGTCCAATCTGTTCGAATTTGGACTTTCGAGTAGACTCGACTGAATTTGAGAACGTGTCTTAGCCAATCCAAGTACACTAACGAAACATTTCAACCAATCATCGTCGAGGTAGCCCAGTTCCAATGTTCCAATGTTTCATGTTTATAAACGTATATATATATATATCCATCCATCCATGCATACACTTCAAACTTTCGACACTTTCGACACTCCAATCGATGAGTCTCGACCCAGCGGCACCACATCCAACTATTGTATTTGACTATATATATAAATATATATATTCTAGTCGATGTTTATATATATATATAGTCAAATACAATAGTCGATGTTTATATATATATATATAAACACCGACTAGAATAGATTCCAAGTAAGAGCCTCCACCCTACCGAGCAATCAGCTGCGGAATCACAATCAACCACGTTTCGATATTGACACTCTGAAAGCCCGCGTTTAAAGCAGTGTGGACGTCGTGCTTATGGCCGTGGGCAAACCACAGAGTCAGCACACGCAAAATATCTTGCTGGACATTGGCAGCCCATCGAGATCGGCCCAATGCGATGCTTCGAAAGAAGCCTGTGTAGATGGATTAGTCGGGCTAGTAATACTAGTAGTAGTAGTAGTAGTACTAGGAGGAATCGTACCTTCGATGGCCGACACGACGTACGAGTCGTCGGGAGCGGTTTTGGCTGCGGGTTGGTGGTCCACCACGTGGAAATTCATCAGCGCCCATGCATGCCATGCTAGAATAATATATAACCAGTCATATATCTAGTATACGAGGGATTATACGCCTAGTAGTACTACTAGTAAACATGATACAAGTCTATGAACAAAATAATATATTTAATATATATACCGCACTATTTATTATAAGTATCGTTATATCGTCGAAAACCCATCCACCAACACGAAAACACAATCATCTACACTAAATAATAAACTCATATATCTCAACTGCATTGTGGTTTTAGCCACTACTGTTAGCGTGCAGTATATATATATATATACATATATATATATATACAACAATACTTAAATATATATAAATGAGGTAGAATTGTTGTGATTATTCCAAACTGGAGCGAAAGCATCGGCCGAAGAATTTAGCCAATCAGATTGCAGGAAACACGTCAATCCATCACTAATTCGTGCGTGCCTTTAATTAGTGTGATGGGCATCACCACTGCATATGATTTACATACAACATCCAGTGCAAAACCAAATCGTGATCGATGGATTCGCACTCAAGTCACAACTGTAGTTTCTGACAAAAATAAATAAAATAAATAAATATATATATATATAATATAGATACCTTTATAACTGGTGGGGTCCAACTCGGTGCTGGTTTTCAAAGCCGAGAGGACGGCAGGGATAGAAACTTTGTCCAGTTGTTGGTCGTGGATAGCCATCTGCCACTCTGCCCACTTTAATTGGCACTTGACCAGATCATGGGCATGGGTCGACGTGCCTACCCCGTCACAATCCATATTCCATGGCAACACGATCAGGTTTCACGGGTAATTATACACACAACCAAATTAAAAGTACCTGGGCGACGGGCCGACAGGGATTGGACAAGTGAGCCCAGTTCATTCAGAGCTTTCGACTTGTCTCCAACTGCCCACAGATGTTTGAGATAAGCAAACGCAATGCGATACGGGTCGTGCTGGGAATACCCGAGGGAAGCAAACCCCACCTACATATATATATATACAGATAGTTTGGTGATAAATATATATATATATATCGCATAGGATTCAAAACACATATACGGGATATGATATATAGAGGAATGTTCCCGATTCAATATTATTATTATTAGGACAAATCAACTAGGGGATGATGGCATTCTATTCGATTCAAATAGCCATATCGATCGCTCCTATCTTTGTTTTATCATCATATATATGTATATATTGCCATATCCGTTCCACCACATTGGACTTTTGAGTAGATTCGAATGAATGGATCATATGTATTTTAGAAATATCCTAGCCAAAGTATGCATAACCAAGAACGTGCAACCAATCATCGACCAGCAAAGATTCACCCAGCCAAAATGTTCCGCTTTAATTTGTAGAATCATTGTATACCATGCATTGAAAATAACTAGACCAAATATTTCAGCGAAATGCACACACACTACATATATATATATACATCTAAACTTACAATCCATAGACCAATGAACCATCGCGATGCCATGGAACTATCAAAAACCACAGCCCACGAAACTCTCATTGATATTGCAAACACACTCACACGAATCTCAACCTCCATTTCAAACCCACTGATCTTTTATATATATATAGTTATGTTTATTCTAAATAGGAGCGATATGGCGAATGAAGTACACAAGAATTGACCAAAGGGGATGATAGAGCCAATCAGGTTGCAGGAATCTAACCATCATCAAAGTTTGATTGGCAAACCAGTTTACAAACATCAGGAACAAAGATTCAATCAGTGTATCCATGAATTTGGCAAAACGCAGCCCACAAGTCCACATTGCGAGTCAACCTGCAATATATATTTATATATATATAAAATATTGTACCGGTGTAAACGCTGTGCGCCAGTCGTCAATCTGATCTCGCTGCCTCGTCACAGATAAAGCGTGCGTAAATACCTTGAGACTCAGAGCCAAGTGATTAGATTGGCGGCATAAGCTGGCAAATTGGAGCCACGTGGCTACGTCTTCATGGGGGCTTAGCACGAGCGAGCGCACCGCCAGCACATGCTGCCACACGTCCACCACCCGTTTGCACCCAGCTAGCCGGTTAGACCACATGGCCACCATGTGACGTTTCAATAAGGGCGCATCCTCGGGCTTGGATATGCACATCTTTTTGTATGCGACGATTTCCTCGAGTTCACTGAGCTGCTGCAGTGTAATCATGGTGTGGTACGCACGCAAATAGGACTCGCTATAAACATACAATATAATGAAATCCATATAGACAACGTGGATATATACGGATGGTATCAAGTGCACAAGTGAATGTATAGAATAGTTTGGTGTGTCCTATTTAAAAGGCAAGTCGGGTACGAGGTATGACATAGTTATATATATCGAAAAGGGTTTGCTGGACAACAAGAGAATATACCAAGTAGAGAGAAGAAAACGCTGGGGACAAACGAAGATATCAACGATTTCAATGGATTTTTTAGTTTATACCCTATTTATGCAACATGGAATATATGTATATATATAATATACACACAACTCATTATCGGAAATCGCATCTCGCAGGAAAGAAGACTACGATCTCCAGTTACTTTAATCACACAATTGCAACTTTTGATCTCACAATCCCAACATATTATATAACACTACTAAACACCAACCGCATCTCGGATAATAATATGATTCCAACTTGTTATAACTCGATCCCAGCGTATTATAACTCGACCCCGACTTGTTATAATACGATCCAAACTTTTTATAACTTCGACCCCAACTTGTTATAATACGATCCAAACTTATTATAACTTGACCCTGACTTGTTATAACACGATCCAAACTTATTATAACTCGACCCCGACTTGTTACAATACGATCCAAACTTATTATAACTCGACCCCGACTTGTTACAATACGATCCAAACTTGTTATAACACGACTACAACACATTACTGTATCGCATACAAACATTCGTACCCGACGAGGGCGCCCAGTGTCGCATCCAGTTCCTTGCGCGTGGTATCAATCCACACTTGGGCGTCTTCAAACTGATTGTGGTGCACCGCCAGCACCGATTTATACAATGCACACAGTCCATTCAATTCGGAATCGCCACTATATAAAACTATTATCTCAACTACTAGTATTTATATATATATATATATACCTCGACGGCGTGCCCGTGAGCGACCCCATACTCGGGCCAGTTGCTAAGACGCCGCCAACATACTGCTCCATGGTACTCCAGTCCCGAAGCCACCAGCAGGCGCGCGCACCCAGAAGTGCCACCGTCTTGACCAATGATTCGTCCTTCAGTCCCCGTGTCACAGGGTCAACCGTATCCCATACTTGGCGAGCCAATTCCGCCAGTTGATCCCACTCCCCCAATGCCTCGAGGCATCGCATTTTGCCCGTACACGCGTCCAAGTCATTGGGTGTCTACACAATCATATTAATGATTAACAAATAAAAAAACAATTTTATGATTAATAAAAACTAGTCTATGTTATCGAGGAATACGAGAAATAGATGCTTGGGGATAGAGATGATTGATCCTGACATCATAATCAAATGCGGTTGGTTTATGTATTATAACAAACCAATCGAATACATGAACCAGTCCAATACATATGAACATCGCTTGCAGATTTGATATCATCTTATCACATATTTAGATGGTGTAGACCCATTCATACTTGTCGAAACACATAAACTGAATATATATATATATCTAGAACTTGGACGTATTCTGACATCCAAAACAATACAATATTCTTTTCATTTTTCGTACATTTCGAAATACAATGTACATAGTTCTCTATATTATCTATATAATCCATATATAAATAAATATACATATATATATATATATGTATAGCCCTCTTGGCACATCGGTCCTCCAACCCAGCAAAGTTGTATTCAAAGCATACACGATAAACAGTACACACCCATATATGAATATAGCATATATATATATCTAGCCCTCGAGGAGTCGCATACTGACATCCAACAACGTAAATCCGTCTCCACAAGAATACAATGCACATACTTATATATATATATATATTTATATATATATCTAAAAGTACCTCTTGTAGCTTGACATTGTACAAATCCAATGCGTTGTCCCAGTCTTGTAGCTTTTCAAACCAGCTTTCTTTGACGTGGATGACACTTTTGTGGTGCAATTGTGCGTATTTTAAAATGCCCACAGCCGCTTCGGGCTGGCCCACCTGGTTATTAATCGAAATCAGAGCTTCGATGCACGTAGAAGGCGACGTGTGAAACTCGAGCTCCTTGTAGTGCAGTGCCTTGGCATAGGCGTGGCACTTCTGCGCCAGTTCGCCCAGTTCGCGAATATCAATGGGCAATGCCTCCACGTCATGCTCCATAAACTCTGCCAGGTTGAGCAAAGTCTGCAGAATCTCGGCGGGAATTGTATCGCTTTGGAACGCTGTCTCCAACGCCCGAACCAAATAGTCTTGATATTGTTCGAATCTATACGATTATATATATATATATATATATATATTGTGTACAGTTGTTTCTATATGATAGAAAATAACAACGACAGACTCAGCATACACACAAATAGCCATACAAAAAAACGAATAAAGTGTCCAACATGAGCATATGGCCATATACGATAGGGATTGAATTGAAAGCCCATTTGATCAAATCATCTGTCATAAATATGATTATTATTAAAATTGGTATCAGTTTTATTCGATATATATATATATATATCGAATAAAACTGATACCAATTCATTCCATTCTATATATGTCCTATATAAATAAATAAATAAATAAATGTATATATATATATATATATGTCTCATCAACTCGAATACATACACACGAATAAATAAATGTGGAATATGTCGAGAAAATGAAAATCATATCGGCACATGTGGCGTCATTCACGATACGTGTGGTTGAAGTGTACGTACAATTGGTTCCAGCACGAGACAAATGCCGAATTAAACAGCGCCCTTGCCAGTGGATTATAAGCTTGCGCCAACGAACAACATGATCTAGAAATAATATATCGTCAAATTAGAACGCGATATCAAATTTGTGTTAACTTTATAGATAAATGTTGGGATATGGACAAATATGAATGTATTATTTTTTGTGGGACTAACGTACCGCAACGCCGCGGAAGGGGATTCCCGCAACAGCTCAATGGAAAACCGGCGCATCCATTCGAGCCAATCTATTGAAATACATCAAAATACAATATTCGTGAAAAATATATTCTACATATTTCAAAATATCCAACCAAAAAAAGCAAAACGAAATATATATTGTGATGGCATTCACCATTCATGTACGAGTCCCCAACATAAAGTAGATACAAAACACCGATGAAAATACAACGAATTATCCCAAAAAAATATAAAAATATACATGCACCTAGCCAATCATATTTCACCATGGAGAAATTTGAACCAATCAGCGGTCATCAACGTTAGGCCCCATCAAACACAAAGGTTCATCTTTCGATAATCCGTATACCGTTTTACGGAAAAACGAATGAGCGTCACAAATCCAACTCAAAAATCCATGCTCTTACTATATATATATTGTCAAAATCCGTGGCCATTGTTTGGCGTTCCAAGTACAAGAAACTCGAATGGAAATGATATATATAATATATATTTGCCACCAAACTGCAATGGAAATAATATATAATATATATTTGAAAATATCCTCGCCACTCAAACGAAACAACATTGTTCAATCCCTCATCTAGTTTAGCCCTCCAGTTTAGCCTCGTGCAAAATTTCGTCGTTTTATGTGTATATGCCTTGAAAAAAAGCTAAAAATCTGACTCGAATCGATAATCCGCTTTTGGGTGAAAAGGGACATATATACATATAAATAATATATACCTTCTTTTGTGGATCGTTGCGATGCTTCCCACGCCCGCTTCAAATTAGCCTGATTAACATGGATCGCATTCGCATTGGGCGACTCGGGCGACGGCGGAGCGGACGCCGCGGCGGTGTACCAGCCCTTGAGCTCTGCCGAAAGCACTTGGCGCTGAACCATTTCTATGGAAATGCGCTGGTTTGGAGTATTTAGCACATCACTCCACGACTGAATGGCGGCCACGTGGTCGGGTGACGAAATCTGCGACAGAGTGCTGTCTACGAGGGACTTGTAGCTCAACCACCCGTCTTGCAGTTGATATGCAATCGCGCCCAAGCAGTACACGGCCGCGTCTGTAAACTTTCGAGTCTACATGCAAAAAAAACACGAGGATATCAATTTATCTAACTATTATATATATATATATATATATACATTCGACGTATTGGACTCTCCAACACAGGTCAAACACACAACGCAGGTTATATATATATATATATTGAAGACACCTTAGTGACTCGAAACAAAATTATACAAGAGACTGCCAACCCAACCACACTAGGATCGTCCTCATCACACAATGCAGCATTTTTTTTACTATTCCATCCCACAGTACATATATATATATATATCATCGACTAGTGTGTTGAAACCAAAAACAGGTAGAATGCGGCATTTATATATATATATATATTTTTATAGTGTACCTTATCCGCGTTGAGTTTGACCATTCGATGCAAAACCAAGAGCAGCCGGGGCCCAATATAATGCTCAAATGACTGGCCCAACAAGGTCAAGTGCGCCAGCAGTCCCACGATCCACGTCTTAGCCTCCCACGGTGTATCGGCATGCTCCAGCAGCCGAATCAGAGCCGGCATAAGCACAAATACGCTGTCTTCTACGGCAGGCCCACTCACCAGCAGTACATGCACGACTTGGATTTGCACAGACGACACCAACATCCCACTGTTCCTGTATAAATGTGTCAGCATAATATATATATATATATATCACATAGAGGTGGATAGGAAATATAGATTTTGGCCATACGGCTTTGATATTCCAAACATAAAGTGGAAGGGGGGAGGTTGATATATATCGACATAGGAGGTTGCTGCATGCATCCCCCACTTGACAGCCAATCGATGAACGAATCAAAACCCACCACATGAATTAAACGACCAATCAAAACCCACCATAAGAATTAAACGACCAATCAAATCCGCTCTCTTGTTCCCAGTTCATATCGAAGAAGTGTGTGCCGTAAATCCGTGTGACATTGGACAATTTCACATACAAAACTCAGCACAACAATCTCCAACTGTCGACGAAAACCACATAGACGTGTCGCCCAACCCATTCAAATTGGTGTAGCGTTGGATATATATATAAATATATATATCCAACGATACACCAATTTGAATAGGACATTTATATATATAAATATATATAAATGTCCTTTGCAAAGATACAAAATAGATACACTTTATTCAATTCCATCAGTATATTGTCTAGTCGATTATTCGAAACTGGAGCCGTCAGCAGAATCAGTCTTCAGAGAATAAATTAATAAATCGTCTGGGCCAATCAAATCACGTTCTGGTAAACATTTCTGCCAATCCAAACTACGTTTGACTCAGTCCCTCCGCATTGGGCAAAATTATATATACATACTAATCTTTGTATAGTATAGATTTTTTTACACGTTTCAATCAAATGGATTCGAATGCTATTTGGCAAAATGACTCTCCAAATTTGGGTGAAATATAAACAATATATATATATATCGTACTCTGGCGATTCCATCAAGTCCGAGCCCATGGTACCAGGCGCGGCATGATGCAGCGGATCGGACGTGGCGCCAGACGACAGCGCGGCGGCGGCGGGAAGGGCGGCGGCGGCGGCAGTGGACGCATGATGCAGGGGCGACGGAGACAGGTCGTTGTTGGGTGGGTTTTGTTGTTGGGGCTGAAGAACTTCAAGCAATCGAGGCAAGAGCAGCGGAAAGTACGTTTGTTTGAACTCGGAAGGCGCAGCGCGGGCCATTTTCTAATCGAGACCGATAAATATATATATATATATATATCACATGGTTTTCAATTGCAAAAACATATTTTGGTTGGGACAAATATATATATATATATATATTGATATGAGCGTACCTCGATCAATTGCAAGATGGGGCTGAGATGGGACCGCCAGTGCCGAAGCATGAGCGTGACCATGGCCGGGAAAAAAGGACTCAAATGACTTTGAACGATTGAAGTCAGCGTCGTAACTTGGAGGAACAGCGAGTGCCGCAACCGAGGCTCGCCTACCCAACCAAAACGTCAAGGTTTGAATATAATATATATATATATATATATATATTTGCCGTTGAGTGATATACAACAATAAACCAAGAACCATTCGCTGCATATATATAAATATATATCGGCAGATCAGTAAGCCACATTGTTAGGAAAGGAAAACCCCAAGTCGCTACATCTTGTTTTCAAGGCGAAGTTGGAGACCCAATCGGCAGACAATTGATCGACCAATCAAAACACACCGAAGATATTGATTTTGGCCAATCAAATTCCACGAAACCATTTTAGCTATGCAATGAGGCACACCAACCCTGATACTTGGACTTTATATATATATATATATAAATATTCGATCGGATCAATTCCGAAAATCAATCTGAATCATCCAATGTTGCTTGAAATGACCATACATAATATATATCCATGTATATGCCCATATCATGCGGACAAGTCGACAAGACAGGATAAGCACTAGCCTCCTCCAAAACAGAAATCAAATATATATATCTATTCAACACAGATATCAATAAATATCTACCTATATCCTTCCAAATATCATCCCATCATGTCGTACGTCGTCCATGTTTTATACAACCCATTCCACTTTCAAACCTATATATATATATATATATATCCTCGCCAACCCAAGGTCAGACCGTGTAGATATATATATCATATACATACCTTTGTCCAACACGTGCAAAAAGGGCGGCATGATCGCCGGCAGAAACTGCACACATTGCAGAGACAGCGATTTGAAGATAAACATGATAGCTTGGATCACTCCGTAGTGATGCACCGCCAGCGACGGTTCCCTCAATATGCCCAATAGGGCATGAATCGCCACTGTGGGAAAGTACGCTTCATCTGCGACAGAGAGCGGGGGGGACGCGGGGGCCGACTGCAGAGCCAGGTGCATCGGGTCCTCTTCAGCTGATGTTTCGGGGTTGGGGGGCGGCGACGGGTGCCGACGGGTGCCGACGGGGGGGGCGGTGAATAGCTGGAGCTCAATCTGCTGCTTTTCTTCATCCTGGGTTGAGGGTAGGGGTGTTGGTTGTTTGTCCCTACAGAATGTTACTAGTGATTACCTATATTTAAATATATATATATTATATTTTTAATAAAATCAATGTACATTGAACGTGGAGCGACCGACATATAGAGAAAAAGAATGAATCGACGACACGCAACCAAAATATTCAATGGACAGGAGAAGAAACGGCAGATTATGGGTTTGGTTGAGCCAATCAGATTGCAGAAAATCTTCATTTTTTTTGACTTGAATTACGGTGATTGCAATCGACACCACGCTAAGTACGTCCATACAAAAGTCAGGACAAATATAATCGCATATCAAAAGCCCAATATTTGGTGGATGTTTCCATCCAAATGGCCAATGTATTTAAAAAGGGTTGACGTCCTTCAACAGATCGAGCCACGCCAAATATGAGTGACGAAAACAACCTGTTAAATTGAGTTGTATATCAAATGTCGCAGGTTCAGCGATGAATAAACGGTTCATTCACGCCGAAATGATTGAGTAGATATATGACAACACAATACAAATATTTACAAGAGTCGAGTACATATCATTCCCTACACTAAAAATTCATGTTAAATATAAAACGCAATGAAAAATATATATATAAAAAACAAGCGATTTATCGTACGGAATCTCCAATGTTGACGCCCTCGCCACGCAAAACTTGTACTTGTACGGGTCCAACGCTCCTAAATATACACAATATTTCATGAGAACTACTAATACATACAATCCTTTATACACTCTACACCCGATCGTGTATATATCGGACATAATACCGATGATATATATATATATATATAATCGAATAATAATGACAGTACCCAAGATCCCCATAGTCTTCATAGCTTCCCGGCGAAGAGACCAGGGTGTGGCGGCAGTGTGTTGGAGTAAATCCAATAGAACGTGCAGCACTTTGGGGTACGTTACGTACGGCTGCACGACGTTGCCAGTGCTGGTGGTCTATATAAAACAATAGGCTAAATGATCCCGTTCATTTGATGTATATATTTGCCATAGAAGAATCATCACATTGGACGGATGTATATATATTTTCCAAGTTGGCTAGTGTGAATTCAAAGATGTGACATCGCCAGACAAATGCGCGATATACCGACCAATCAAAACACTAGAAACATATAAAGTGGCCAATCACCGAGAACTGGAACGTTTGGATCTTATAGTAGTAGTAGTGGCTATGTGATTGTGCGTAAAACGCTACATTTCACTCGAAACGATGAAAATCATACAAAACAACCTCCCCTATCGAAATAGAGTTAAAAACCTTCTTTTTATACTTATTTATTATTCTAGTATAATATTTTTATAATACATACAATCTTATAAATCATCCTATGTGTATATAACATAAGATTGAAGCTTTTATTCAAACTTATATTTTATTCGAACACTGGTAAAGTTAGTCAAACGTCGTCCCATCGTACACAGAAATCCTATCTCCCAAGACCTCATACAAAAAAGCCCACAAGCACATCATATTTATATATATATATATTCCATCAACATAACCCGTTGTGTTTACCAGTTGGCCGAGCGTAACCAGTGCCACGTGTCGCTTGGACAGACTGCTGTGGTCCTGCAGAGCGTCCAATATCAACGGAAGCAGCATCCCTTCGAACGGCGCCATCTGCGTCTGCACCGCCAGACTCAACGCGCCCAAAGCCGTGAGCACCGCGCTAGAAAAGTTGGGATTTCCCTGCAGTTTTAGCTTGGGCAGTAGCACGTCCAGCACCCGACTCAAGTAGGGCTCCACAAGGTGTTGAGACCCGCGAATGAGTTTGGATAGCAGTCGAGTGCTTTCTTCCATCATGCGAAGATCCAATGCGTGCTCGAGTTCGGTCAGGAGCTAATAAATATATAAATATATTTGATTTGTTTGTGTTGAAGTAGCATAGCATGTAGCATGGATTGGTTGGACTAGGGAGAGTAGATCATGCAACAATAAACAATAACAAGCATTGCCGTGATATATATATAGATATATATAGTTTATACAATAGATTACAAGTTCATTCAAATCATACATATAAATATTGAAACAAAAAAAGGCGGAATTTCAAACGAACAGCAAGCCTATATATATATATATATATATATATATATAGATCTTTCCACATACTTGAATCAGTACGCGTCGAAGCAAGGGCAAAATATACGCTGGGTTTCGTCCGGCCAATCGATCCAACACTTGCATAGTCAATTCTCGAATCTCGGCTTGTTCTACTCGCATCAAACATATATTTTTATCAAACTGACTTCGTCTCAAATATATATATATATAATACCATCGTTGACCAGGTAAAACAGCAAATTTACATGCGATTCTTGGGCGAGCCACTCGTCGAAAGGAGGCTGAAGTGCCTCCACTACTGTCTTCCGAACTGTCCAGTCCTGATCTGTGAGACCCACTTGGAGCAGCATCTGAAGCATATGATCGACCACTTGACCAGAGCGGCCGCGCTTGGGTAGGGCAGGGTCGGGGTGGCACAGTGTCGCACATGTGGTCACGGCTATACATCACTTTTAGTAAATATATATATATATATATATATATATACAGAGAGAGAGTGCGTGTTTAGAGTATGTATATTATTGATACTGATGTCACTATATATATATATATGTATGCGTATGAATTTTTAGAATTTTAGATTGAATCAACCAATGGAATCGACAAAGTCAGGGGTAGATTGGATATATATACATACAGTTGAGAGAGCATGTATGTATGTAGGGTATACTACTACGAGTGTCTATATATGATATATATATATATATATATATATATATAGTTAATCCGAAGGAATTCTCAATGAACAATCGATTTGAACTGACACAATAATCCACCCGTGTTGATAGATTAAAATGCACTGTAGCATATGTATTTATTATATATATATATATTGTCAAATCGATTCGAAACTGGAGCTGTCAGCAGAATTGACTGATAAGAGGACGAATTCAAGAGCCACCTAAGCCAATCAAATCACGTAACTCTGTCGAGTTTCTGCCAATCCAAACTCTGGAATCGGTCGCATTGGGCAAACTCGCATAAATACTAATCTTTGTATCATCTAGTTTATACAAGCTCAAAGTCGATCAAATGGATTCGAATGCTATTTAGCGAAATGACTCACAAGTCCAAATACCGGTGCAATGCACAATATATATATACTTAGCGTTTTTAAGAGTGTATATACGACTGTATATTTGTACTAGTACATGATTATAAAAAAGAAAATCGACCAAGGGTACAAAGTATCGAATATTCACACATTGTACAACATAACGTCGTAATCTTACATTTAGTAACGGGAAACACGTCGTATTTCAATCACAAATAAATACAAGATATATATATATATATATATTTCCAAACATACCTTGTTTACGAACCGACACGTCAGGGTAATACAAAAACATGCTGACGTGGTCTTGGACAAACGGCAAGATTGAGAAAGGACCTCGAAAGTCAAAGTGCCCCAAAGTATTTAAGCTCAGCAGGAGCATTGCGTCGCTGTGTGGGTTGCTGCCCCCCACTTCTTTGGTTTCATCAGGTTTCTATATATATATAATATTATTTCTATATATATATATATATATCATATTGACTGCAGTATCGTACGTCGGAAGATCGAAACGGTAGCGAAAACGTAGAGAACCCGCCTCCTTTGCGTGGATCGTCGAGGGTTGTGGACGCCGGACCTATGACCCGCAACATATATATTTTTAGTTAAAATATATATATAGATATCAAGATTTAGGCAATATAAAAGCACAGTCGTCGATTGTTTCAATGGAATTGCAATATACGAGTTGTGCACATATGGCGGTGGTCAATAGGTGCATGACCAAATAATTTGCATTTAATATTCTTATCGGTACCCACATCGAATGTTATAGTAGAGGCTTTTGAACTGACGAATTCAAAGAGTGATTGTATGTCAACTGTATTGAAACATATCGAAATAGACCCAAATATACCGAAATAGTCCAAAGCTACTGAAATAGACCCATAGACACGAGATCAAAAGATAAGTGAAATATACCCAAATACAAATATACTGAAACAAACAACATAAAACAGACCCCAATATATACTGAAAACGAATCAAATATACTGAAAATAGTCCCAAATATATACTGAATAGACCCAAATATACTGAAATATATCTATCGATATCAAAAGACATACGTTGTAGCACTAGGGCAATTTCATGGAGCAGGCGTTCCTGGACCCACGTCTTGACGGCGGGGACGGTCTGTACGATCTCCGTCAGCGCTTCAATCAACGCCTCGTTCAACCCTCCTATTTGTATATGCATATATATATCAATACTTCATTAATATATATATATATATATATATATATATA